TCAATATTTGAATAAATACGGTGGTCGTGGTAGTTCCCGTGCAGCTGTGTCGATCGAAAGAGCTACGAAACTTCGACTTAGGTTGCAGCCCCGCTAAAGAGCAGCACCACCTTTAAAGCAGACGTCTTTCGTAATATTTGTGGGTGGTTTCTTTTTTTGCAGGTTACGATATTAGAGTCGAGTTTGGTAGGTTCATGAAACGTGGGGACGCATTTTTATTGGTGGACCTGTTAGCGGATATGCTGGTTCTTGGCGGCCTTTTACGCAAATTGTATTTGCAGGCTAAATAGACTACCGAGAGTAAAATGGAGAGGGAAGAGATGCTTTATCCGAAATGAAGTGTTGCGCTCCGATTCATTTTTCAATCATTTCTTAATACCCATTTTAAATGGAACCTACTCAGACCAGAGCCCTATTTCTAAAAAGAAGGCTCTGTGTTCATTTTGCGCCCTATTTATTTTTGTCACAAACGGTAATAAATAATATGCTCCAATATCAAAGAGGAACCCTCGTCCATTTCGGGATACAATCATTTTTCATTTTCAAGTGATGTGCTGACACATGTTGCCATCTGCTCCAAGAAAATTGTCGGTGACTGCTCCAAATTAATATTTCGCCTGCTACAAAACCTTTTACAAAAGGTCAAATGCCGCTTCCAACGCTGCTGCAAAATCTTGAGAATCTACGTTCCTTCAAAGCAAATCCAATCGCTGGGAGTGACCTCGGCGAATTAGGATGCTGAACTTACGTTTAGACCGAAAAAGATTCATGACAAATTGCTGGGCAGTTGTGTTGCACACATAAAACGTTCTTATCACAGACGTTTGGCGATATTTTCACGGCACTCTTCGTACGATAGTTTCACGCATACCATGTGTACACTCGGTCGTTTTTTGTTTTTTTTTTCTTCCTAGAATGAAGAGATTCTACCGCTAATCGAGCTCCTCTCTCTTAGTCAAACAGGTGGTCGAGTTCCTCCTCGCCTACCCCTCTGGTCACGTGACCTCCCCCGTTAACCAATCAGAATCGAGCTTCGCGGCCACGCTTATCAGGCTTCACTTATCCTTTGTTTGAATCTTGTTTTCAGGTTTCCAGAAGCACTTTTTGCTAGATTTCCAGTACCGTAATCCAGATAATGCAAAGTTATACTGGGTTTTTTCGTTAGGGTTCACTTATCATTCTTCACGAAATGCCGAACAACTAACCTAAAAGCGTTTCACGTTAACAAAAAGAGCTGTCTGCACTTAACATTGAGAAGCACGTTCCGCCATGCTCACTGTTTGGGAGGTTGCAAGCTGTCTTTTTAACCTCTGAACACATTTTCAGCCTTGTCGCACGTCGAACTCGTTCCGTAGGTTGCAGCAATTAACTTTCCCGGGTGCCTTGCGGAGAAGTTGGCGGTCCAGATTTCTTAAAGGGTATATATCAGGCATTGCCTGTCCACTTCGCTCCACCTAATCTTCGTCGAACAGCCAGCGAAACCTTCGTCCGACCAAAAAAACTTGAGTGTGCCGCTGCCACCTGGAGACCTCACCGAGCCAGCCTTATCGTCCAGCTTGAAGCCATCGTGCCGCACGCAGAATCCTGTCCAGATATGAGCACACTGCTAGCGTCACAGGCTACGGAGTCTCAATTGAGTCTAACTCCATTAGCTACGCGCCGTAAAACGCTCACTTTTCCCCGGTCTCTTTCATAAAAATAAAAAAAACTCCATTATTCTGACATCGGAAGAATGATCTTGCAAACACTAAACAACGCTTTCGTAGATTATTGGACTATTTAATGTCTACTGCGCATTTCCAGATCTATGCCAACGCACATAATAACTCTTTTACATTTTTTTTTTCTTGCAATTTTGGATTGGGGTGTTTTACCAGGTAGTCTTGTCTCGATTGTGTGTCCGGACGCACTCTGCTCTTGTTTGCCTTCACATTTCCGATATTTGCCGGCTGCCTTGGCTGTTCATTACTTGATGAATTGCGCGTGAGTGTGCGTTGTCGATCATGCAAGTTTGGGATTTTTTTTACTTCTTTTTTTCTTCAAGTGCTACTTTTATTTATTGATAAAAATATTGATTGACTCCATCACGTAATGTCTTCGGAGGAGTATGTTTAAGGGTAATAAAATAAAATAATTAATCATTTAATTAATCAATCAAGTACTTAATTCATTCATTGATACCAGCTATTGTAATCAATTGCCTCCAGACGTGCGATTCAAGTCATTTTCCAGTTAAGCGCAGACCATTGATGCGTCAGCATGCAAACATAATTTAAGAATACAACATACACTGTATTTTGAAATTATGTTTTTGTTAGCAATGCTACTGGGGACTGAACAAGAGTAAAACTACTCGACTGCCAACTACATTTTAGCTAGCGCGGGTTCGTTAAGACTATAATTTTTAGACTAGCCAGGTTTTCCTTTTTAGCTGGAATAATTCCGACTTTGGGACTTTGGGACTCCACTAGGCTTAGCATTCTTGAATGCTGAACGCGCAGGCCCAAAGAGTGTCTCTCCGCTTATGGAGTTTCTCTATTGTGTCCGTTCAAGCTCTCTTTCTGTATTGCAGGTTTTTGGGTCTCCGGCGTCGTTTTGGCGGTTCCTCTTTACGAGCGCCGCCACTCCGATAACGGACGAACAGACGCAGCGTGCCGACGTTCTTAGAACCTTATCGGACGGGAGCCATAATCGGAACGACCTTCTTTTATGTTCACAACGTTCTGGTGGGCGTGGCGGACAGCACCCCAAACACGTAGTTTTCCTACTCGCCTGCGGCTATCAGGGGTAACGTATTAACACCGTAATATACCGAGAAATAGCCCACCTAAAATCAAGAGTATATCGGGTGAAAATTAGGAGTGGGATAACTTTCCATGTGCAGTCGAGAAAAGTAAAAATAAAAAAGCTACTTTTAGGTGATGCGTCTCTGCCAAACTTGTTATCGCGGTGAGAGGCGATGAAGCAAAATGACTGTATTTCCCAGTCAGCAATGTTAGCTTATGTCCCCCCATGGCCATGTAGCCGCATTTACGCCGAGGCCGCCATTGATCCGAGCACTACGATGACTAGAAATCGGCTATATCTTTCGGTGTTTAAATAACAAATTAAACCAAAAATAGGGGTGTGCCATCTTTCGGGGCTATGGCATCTCGCGGGATATTACCGTAAACTGGCGGTCATCGAGAATTCACTTACACCGAAATGGGGTAAGTCACAATCCCACGTGAGTAGCTAAAAAAAAGAGAATGTAGTCTATAGTGCCTGCCAATAAAAAAAAAACAAAAAAAACCATAGGGTGTGATGAGTTCCGCCATGCATCTCATTATCGCGTCGCAGCCAATCAGATTGCAGCATCCCCTGATAATAGCTTCGAAGGACCAATCACGAAGCAGTAAGCGTGAACATAAAGAGCCCCGCTCTGCGTTTCCTAATATGTCACTGACCAACTCAACCCTCTGACGTCACTCCACCGCGGTGGCGCTGCTGTCGGCAGTGCGCATGCGCAGACAGTTCCTCTCATCCGAATCTGTCTTTTGCGCACGAGCAGTTGCCCACACCTGCTAAGGGCAAACGCGCGGGCTTGTTTGTAAACAGCGTGTTGATAAATAGTGTTACACCTCGAGAAAGCCAGCTCTCGTTCATAGTTTAACGAATAGATAGCCTGACACATATATCCATAGTTTAAACAATTCGTGATGTATTCCACCAATGTTTTGAATTTTCTATCGAGGATATTATCTATTTTGTTTACGACGGCCGTTCTAAACCGACGCGCGTGACGTTTCACGGCTTTATGCATGTTTTATGCATTAAAGAAGAACGTTTGTTTGACAGGTCAGTTCAACTTTATATTCGTGCACAGGACATAGTTGTCACTTCATTTTTCTCCGGCCTACTCGAAGCAGCCAGCGCAACCGAACACAAAACACAGCTCTCGCGGAACACAGAGGCCGAGTCTGTCACGACACGTGTAACTCTGTCGAATTCCGCCCTTCAAAGTGTCAATACTTTTCGCGCGCGGCACACAACACCGTACAGCCGCGTGTCCTAGCTGTCCCACTTTCGCCTGTCTGTCTCAATACCGATCGCAAATTGCTTTTCGTTCCCATTTCAACTTTTTTCTTATTCTTCTTAAGTTCAGCCTTTCAATTCACGTCAGGCCTAGTACCGAGAGAAGGGTGGGAGGAAGGGCAGGCAGCGGCCTCTCGCAACACGTCCCGAAGACCATTAGGACAACGTCTTTGACCTCATCACTCGAAAAACTCGGCCCGGCGGGCCGACCGCGCGCGTGAAAAACATTCGCTCCGCGGCGACGTCGCCGAATCGCATGCCGAATCGAGAGATCTTTCTTTCTGCTGTATATATATATATATATATATATATATATATACATCCCTCACTTTAACCCTCATACAACGCGTGTGCACCCAAACATACATAACAAAAAAATTTACAAAAACCGCTACTATACGCCACCGCCAAATAGAACCAGCCACTAGGTTTCGTTCCGCCTTGCGGTGACTCGTGGCAGAGACCACGGGTCATCAACGCCAATACAATGCCATCTGTATGTCACGTGACCTTTGGTAGGTTTGCGGCGACGCGCGGAGCGAGTAGTCACGTGATTCGCTTCGCAGCGCTGGATCGGTTCAGACGGTTTCGTCGCACCCGCTGTAGTCCACCGCGTCAGACTTCTTTATATTTCACTTTCGCCCTACACTCACTCTCGCGCTCGCGGCGGAACGCTTCTTCACTTTCCACGCCGAATTTGTTGTTGTCGTCGTTTTTATATCTCGCGGCATCGCCGCTAAGCCGGCTAAGCTCCTCGTAAATACACAGACGCACACACACACATACACACCCGCTTACGATGGGTCGTGGTGCACTCCTCTCCCAACGACGCTACCCTCACTTCTTTTTTTTTTTCCCCCGACGTCGACCGGTTGGTCGGCCTGCGTGTCGGCCGAGCAACCGCACCGACCGTGCGAGTTCGCAGTCCTGCAAGCGCAACAGGCCAAGTAGTGCGACGCTCGCGATGAATCTGACGGCTCGTCGCCCCGCTTCCAACGACGCGTCCCCGTACCCCGGCGCGCATTGATTTCGTCGAAAGCCCCGAGGTTTCGGTGTGTAATTTTTCATTCAACGTGACTGCTACATTATTGTTCGTCTCTGCTGTCGCTTCGGTGAAAAAGGGACCTCAGTTGTTATGAGCGAAGCGGTTTAACACCCCTCATTGACTTCATCGACGACCTGGAGGTTTCGGTGCAGCTTTATAACCTTAACTGCTGAATCATCGTCCATCTCTGCTGCCTTGGTGAAGAAGTGACCTCTCGTTGGTAGGAGCGGTCCGGCCCAGCGCCACGGCACGCGTTTTAATTTCATCATCGACAGCCGAGTTTTGGTGTATGGCTTGATCATCTTAACTGCTGAGTCATCGCTCGTTGCATCTGCTTGAGTGAAGAAGTGACCAGCTGTTGCACCGGTGGCAATTGCTCTGAATGGGATTAGGCTGCCGGATTACGGACTTCCGTTGGATTTAATATCGGAATTTCGAGGACAACGCAACAACTTCCGTTACTGTTGTTGGGGTGGTGGTTGTTGGTGGTGGTAGTGTTGGTGTTTTTGTGATTGTGCGCGGCGGTTGGTGCACTGGGAGGTTACTTACACCCGGATGTGAGTCTCAAGGACGGGAGGGGTATACCCGGATAACGTGGATAATCGTCGGGGTGAGGATGAATGTGAGTATTTTGTCTGGTCCGCTCGGGCCGACTTTGATGGGTTTATTTATGTGGGCGGCGGAACGTGTGGTTGTTACGCGGATCTTACGATACGTTGAAAAAAAGAAACAAAAGCTGGTTTGGGACTTTTTTTTTTTCTTTTGCTAGGTTCAGATGATTGGCACTACTGTGTGTTGTTCTTGAATCAGGGAGCTTGATGAGCAAGTTAAAGTAGGCGTTAACTAGGGGAATTTGCGTCAGAGAAAACGTTTAATCTTGGACGGTGTAATTTGTATCTTATAATAAATATTAGATTGTTCGAGATAACTGTACAACTTAAGAACTCCAGATGATTTTTTTTTTCAAACCGATTTCACTTTTGTAGAGTGTAACCAATAAAACTAGCCGGTAGAAAGGAACTAACAAAAATACTTCCGAAGTCGGTTAATCGATATTACTTATTACTTGTACACAACAGATATAGTCGACAAATAATAAAATATAAAATGTATTAAATGATCAATAATAATTTAAATGATTATTAATCTAATGAACCGCAAAGCGCGCGGAAACTTCAGCCAGTGGTAAGGAGAGCTAAACAAGAATTGATGGAGAAGTGCAAAAGAGTGCTAGCCACGCATTTACCGTATTTGAGGATTCAATACCTGCTCGGTAAAGCAAGGCTGCTAGAGAAGTATGTTTAAGGTTCTAGTCTTTGCTTATTCAAATTTACATTTTTAACGCTTTCTTCTTGTGAGCCATAAATCTCCCCCGCGCTTTTATTATGCGTCGTTTTCTGTTGCTCTTCCGATGTATAAAGATATTATATTAAAGAGGCTCATTCAAACTACACATCAAAGCTGAATCACTCTAACTTTTAAAGATATTAAAAGGAGATGGGAAGAACTATTTGCCGTATAACCGTCATTATATATTAAAATACGAACAGGGGACGATAATATATTCATCTTTATGTTAAAAATGTACGTATAACACCGGCTCAGCATTCCTGCAAAGGTTCGCTTGAACTACTAACACCTCGTTAAAACGTTTTAGAAAGTTCCATTCCAAGCTTTTTTCAAACCAGTTGATCGTTCTTCGTGCTTTGTCCGGCCTTCAGGTGTACGTTTGCTGAAACGGACACGTGCACGATAAGATGCTTTTAAAGCAGTGCATTTTGCTGTCAGTGTCCCCATTTTACTTTCAGTCTATACTTAGAAGCTTGGAGCCCTCTGAGACGATCATTGCCGCCAACGGAGACTGTTATTTCCCCTCAAAAGTTTGCTAATCACTTTCTCAACTTGGAAGTTGCTCTGTCGTCCTCCGCCTCTCCCTTCGATTCCTTCTAAACAAACACGAACCGCAGTTCCTGCTGTCGCTTTTACGTGCACCGCAGAAACGCAATCCCTCACAGCAGGTCAAGCAGGCAACCTTGGCCTCCAGTACCTTTTCGTTCTGTTCCGAGCCACCCCCACTGCCCTTTTCCAATCTACCGAAACGGCCTCCAATGCGTCTTGGCCGCCGTCTAGAAGAGCACGCCCTTACGGCGCCGGGAGGGTCGGATTTTCCCCGCCGTCTTTCTTTTATTTACTTTTCCGATTATGTACTAACTTCGGGATTCTCTTGCTCTTTCTTTTCTAATATATATTCCGGTCCACTCCTGCCTCTCGAGTCTGTAGTCGGAGCGCTTTACACGCCAAGGTCTCTTTTCTGATGGGTGGACGAAGAATGCGTTTAATCCGCAGAAACACGGGGCTGGCGGCGGACTTCAGCCTCAGCGATCAGATCGGAACGCATATGTAGATGTGAGGGTGTCGCGAACTTTTTTTTCGAACCTGAGTTTCGACGTTGAACTCAGAGGTTCGGCTGGTTCAACGAATCTTCGTACTTTTTTTTTTTTTTTTTTGAGGAGGGGGTGGCGGAATTTGATTAAGTTCGACTTCAGATCAGTGTTGCACGAATCAAAAGTTATTGGGAAAATGCTATTTGTACAGTAATTACACCTTGAAAACCCCAAACTTGGGAACAAAAGAGAAATAACAACACACACACCAGTCTCGGGTTTTTAAGATGTCAGTTCACCAGCTCGCCTGAATGCTCTGTTATTTCTGTCTTTGTAGAGTAATTTGTTTTTATACTTTACGCGGCACGAGAGCAAACGCGGAAAAGTTTCATGATTTAGTTAGCTTGTTCGATGCGAAGCAATAAACCCGATAAACATGACTGCATTTCTCCGCTGGGCGGCATCAGCTTGTGTTCAATTTCCGCGCACGCTCACAATAGCCGAACTTCGGTAGAACCTTTGTTTCGAACTTTGCGTTAAAATTTCGAAAAAGGTGTACCCGGTCGAACTCGAATCGTGGCAGGTTCGTGACATCCCTACATATACGTATTTACCGTGGAAGCGCGTCTTTGTTTGCCGGGGCACGCGGTTGACGGACGCATACCTGTGCAGTGGACTGGTTTTCGATACCGACGTGTCTGCATCCGCTGAATGCGTAATCGAGTTACGTGCGCATTTTCGGATCCGAGCTTATTCTGAGCCTCGTCATTCGCCGCCATTTTGAACAAGAAAAAAAAAATCGTGCATGCCTTCTTTATCTTTTTTGTTTGTTTTTGTTTGTTAACGGCACTATTTCACATAAATATTATAATCCTGCCTGCTACAAGAAGACGTAGTATATACAAGGCTATTCAAAAAGAAGAAGCAGATTCCAATACAAAAGAAAAATTGTAACGTATTGAGCACATAACTGGATAGTTGAAGGTTCAAAGTTCAACGTTATATTGTTTTTTGTTGTTCTTTGCACACAACATGAGTGCTATGTATTGGGCTATAAACATCGAAGCGGTAGTTAATTTCTTGCCAGACACGAGTCAACTTGTCCCTAGTAATTGAATTCACTGCATCAATAATTCTACATTTCAGTTCTTAAAATGTAGCAGGCACTGGTGGGGCAGACAGCTTTTTAAATGTATCAATGCATTCACATTTCTGAAACTTATATTTCCCATAGCGCTGTGTGCCATTGAATAAAGCTTCTAGGCGGGCCTTTAAAGAAGTTAAACCTTCCATTATCCTAGTAATGTGCGAAATGTGTTTTTGTCTTCTACAGTTCGTTCGAAATAAAAAATATAAAATCTGCTCCATATTTTTTTAATAGCCCTGTAATCAATGGCCCATCCCAAAACAATCCCGAAGGTGTTTCAATAAATAAGTAAATAAAGAATTAACTTGCTGCTGCAGCCTGTGAAGTTCAACTGAACCCGAAAACACACCCTCTATTGTGCCTATGACGCTTCAAACTTTGAAAATTTGTAGCTTTATATATATATACTTTATTTCTGGGCGTGTTATCTTGGGGCATGCACCGAGGTACCTCCCTGAAACAATTCTAGGTCACCCTTGGGAGTCCCAGTAGTCCATAAAAAGATTGTGCAGTCTCTGCGCACTCTAATAGATGAGAGTTCGAGTCTTCGACGAAAATGATCGAGCGACCTATAAACGCATTTTAAAAGCTCGTGTTCGGCGGCCGCCGTCCATCACTGCCGTGGCATAGAATGCCCTCGCAAGAGTTTTGTTATGTGCGCTCTATAGGGTGTGTTCACTCTTCCACGGTTCTCTTGCAACGTGGATTCCGCACCATCAAAATTGCCGGTCTTAGCAGCCTATTAGTGTGAGCTCGCTCGGAGCATGCGCTCCGAATAGCGCACTCAAATATGGCGTCTCCAGTGAATACTCCCTATTCGAGATGTTTTGGTGGCGCCCTCGTATGGGTACCTGTCGTGACGTCATTACCTTGCGAACAACAAGTTCGATGGTGTTTGTAATGAGCATGGTGGAAGCTTGAAATCATAGCGCTCTAAAACCAACACTTCCAACACCGTCAAAATTGAAGTTCTTACATTCCTCTTATTTCTCTCAATGAAAAATTCTTTGCCGACGTCATAGTCAGCATTCGACCAATCGTGGAAGGCCGACCACAGCGACGCTTTCGATCGCGCACCTCGCCACTACTTGTCACGATAGGCCTTCTGCGCTGAAGCTTTGAACAAACTGTAGCGCCCTCATTTTGGGTAGTACAAGCTCACCTGATTGAGCCTGGTACTACCTATGGCACGTTGGTAGAGCTTTTTAAATTCTGTGTGGTGCTGAAGAACAAAAAAACACCTTTGGACGCCAGAAATGGGCCTGACTCAACGTTGCAAGACAATCGAAAATGCCAAATTCATGACACCACCGCTAGGGCACGCGTCTCTTATCTCTGGGTGGTGACGTCAGAACACATGTGTCGCAACGCTTTCATTTTATTTTCATTCTCATGTTTACTTTGGAACACGTGAAACGGCATCTCTTGGCTCGCGCTCTTAGCGTTTTAGCTTTGACGACGTTCGAATTTTTGTTGTTTCTTTGTATTTTCATCGCGCTCCGCACCAGAGCAGGCACGCTTCTGCATGCGTGACAGTTTGATACGCTAAAGTTTGTAGTACCCAAAACAAGTCCGAACAAGTCCCTTTTCGCAGCACCCCCTGGGCAACGCAGGAGGCCTATAGACTTCAACGCACGCTACGAGCCATCCAAACCAACCAACAAGGAATTTATTCGGCCAGAGATATCGGAGAATACACTGAGAAGGCAATAGGATCCGATACTTGGCCGCTGCCCTGCTGGCCGTCAGATTTACTGCAGTTTTTCCACATACAAAACCCCACTTCAAACACCGTCATGTCCTTTCGGGGGTTGGTCAGGAAATGTTCGTAGAATCGTCAAAAAAACCCGGAAAAATAAGAGAATTTGAAGGCGTCCTTTTGGTAGACGCTCTGATTTACTTTAATTGCGCATTTTGTTTGGTGTCGTTTTGCGTCTGTCAGATTCGTGTGAGCGATGTTCGTGTCTAAGTTTATCCGATGTCCCCTGGTTACATCCGTTCACCGATTGAGAACAAAAACACGATTGCGGAATTGACTAAGACAAAGATGCCAAAGTTGGAATCACAGATCAAGTGGCGGGAACGTGATGA